GTCCGCGTATATCTAGCCTGTGGCGCCGCGCTACAAGGACTGCGCAGGGGGCCCAGCGAGGGGCTGAAAAGTCGGAGGGGAAGGACAAGGGGAAGAAAAGAACAGCGCAGGGGCCGGAAGAAGGGGCTAAAACGGAGAAGCTACCTGAGAACCGCAAAGAGACGAAAGCGAAGCAGGGGCCTGGCGTAGGGGCTAAACCGTCCGGAGAGCGTGCCGAGGTGGATGCCGGAGCGTTGGAGGAGTCCCAGGGAGGCGCAGAGAAGTCGAAGCGGGGGACAAAGAGGGGGAAGGAAGCAGAGGAGCCGGGAGGAGAGAGCGGCGAAGCCTCTAGAACGGTGAAGTGGAGGGGGAGAAAGCAGAGAAGGAGGCGCAGACGGGGGCGGAGTTGTCCCAGGGGGATACGGAAGCCGGAAAGAAGCGCCGGGGAGGGACATAATCGTGCAGAAGGAGAGAAGACAGTGGCTTGACCGTCTGCAAACTTTAGAAAGGGTGCGAAATTGTACATAGCGACTGCGTCCACTAAGGTCACAACTTGCGGTAAAATAGAAAGCAAAGTGTACGTCTGTTCTAACCGCACTTGAAGCACGGGTTGTTGTCACGGTGGAGTGAGCAGTATAGCGCACGAGATCCCAAAGACGTTCTAGGAGCATAGAATCTGTGATTGTGCGTAGCTGTACATTCGATGCAAGCAGCAAACTTCGTTAATGCTAGAGGCTGTATGATAGTTGCAAGTAGGGTAGCAAGGCGTCGTCATTAGATAACAGTACGTGCCAAGCACTGCTTGTCCTTTGAGACCTTACCCAAAAATGCCCGAAATGCAATGAGGGAGTTTCCAAGGAATTCCGACATAGGCCAATCATATGTCAAATATTCACAATACGATACATGTCGACGTGCTTACATCATGATCGTGACCTAATCCAATCAAGTCATTTAATCTCTTTTTTGATTTTGCAATGAGTACAATCTGGCTGGCGTGTGTCACTGTTAAAAGTATTATATGCTGTCACGAATGGAGCTCCACTACATTACGAAAGTCAAGACGACGAACCCTTAAAGTGTTTATGGTGTCCGCCTTATAGCAACTAATCTACTTCACATGATCCCTCCGGCGCGGCGACTTTCTGGCCCCCCTCTCAAGCCGCTCCCTTCCCCATCTTTCCACCCTGCTTCGACGTTTCAGCTCCTCCCTGAGGCCCATGTGCAGCTTCCCGAGCCCCGCGCTCCGCAGCCATTCGCGTCTGGCGTTGCAACTCCGCCTTCTGCGCCCGTTTAGCATCCTTTGTCGCCCTCTCTCTTGCCTCCCGTTCGATTTGATTTGCGGTCTTCCACCTCTTCTCGTCCGCTTTGCCGGGGTCGTACTCGACCTTCTCACGTTTGTGCCCGAGGCGTGCTCCACGGCGGCTTGCAAGGGCAGAGTGTTGTCTTCATTCCGAATCCCGCGGATCGTGCGCGCTAGGTCCAGGTCCTTCTTCTAAAGGGTCTTCCGCTTGCCGTGCGCCTGGCAGAAGATCGCGTCACCGAACAGCCCTACGCCAAAGGCATGAGTTGCCTCCAACAGGGCGTCCAACGCCGACGCCTGCCACCTGGAGGCAAGCTTGCCAATCCGGATCAGCACTAAGATAAAGGGGCACAGCTTCGTAACCGCACGCCGTCTCAAAAACAAGATTATTTGCTCACTTTTGAATATTCCACGTCCATACTTGGAGACGTTGATCGATTCAGCCACTTGCTCGAGCTCATGCCGTATCAACACTTAGGCATTCCAAGCCAGGTGGAACTGCATACCTGAACTTGCCGTCTTCGTCGGTACCAAGCCGCCGGGCAGTCTCTGCATCGCATAGCTCGCGCACGAGACGAGCAGACGAGAGTCGCGGGATGAGCGGGTCCGTGCTCTTCTGGTACTTGCGGATCTCCCTAAGAGCTAGCTAGAGTTCCCGGCCCGTACCGACGCGTCTTCTTCTCTGGTTGGGGATTGCCAGCGCCTTCCGGCGCCTTACGCTTAAAGCCTGTCGAAACATGGCCCGTTCAAACTATGAGCAATGATTGAGATGGATGCACTGTGCTTGAAACAAGAAAGCACAGATTGGCAAAAGGCCATAAGGCAGAGCGTGCAATTGATTCCACTGTCAAAAAATTGAACAACCAAAGCTCGTAGGAACTGCGGAATGAGGTGAACCTGACTACCGTACCTTTGCCAGCCTGTGTGTTCTGACTTTCCGGTGCCTTTCCCTTGCCGCTTGCCGTTGCCTTGAGGTTTGCGCCCTTTACCCCACTGCGCTTCTTCTCCGCTGGTGCATAAAATACTCAAGATGAGAGCCCACCATATTGAGCATGCACCGGGTCCAAACAAGCATGCGAGCTTGGGATGTTGGGACAGCAGAGGCCCATATCAGCTGCTTCTAGCTGAGATAGTGCAATATTATCCCAAAGCGCACTCATGACCCGTTTTTGGTAAACAAACCGTCTGCCACGAAAACGGAAGAAGCTGCTTAGAGCCGAGATTGACCGCACTGTATACCATAAAGCGATCATACATCCAGTTTGGGAAATGAACCAATAAGCCCTTTGAAAATCGAGAAAGCGGATTGCTCATCCGCGGTCGTTGCATGCTTCCCACCCGCGGCCTTGCTGCTAGCACCTTCTTGTGCCCTCTCCTTCCCAGTGCCGCCAGCTGTAGCTGGACTGCCTGCATGCACCGCCGCCCCGACCACCGGCCTTCCCTTGTCCCCGAGCGGCTTTGGAGGCGCTACGTAACTCCTTATGATATATTGATTTACGCCTTCGCTGCTCTACCTCTTCCTCCTGAGCCCCATTCTGTGCCCCGTGTTATATCCTGGTGTGCAAGTCCTTGGATGAAAGCCTGAAGCTCGTCCATCTGTGCCCGGGTCGGAGGCTCGAGCGTAATGTCCTCCTTTTCTACAACCAAAGGGGGCTCCGGCTGGATTGCTGCCAGCGGATCGAACATATCAACACCGGTCCCTAGCTTCATGGTCCCATCCCCCCCACTAACCTCTGGCTGTTCTGCCCCATCCTCTGCAAGCACATCGTTTTGCTGTGCACGTTCATGCAAAATTTCCTCCAACTCCTCCGCTGTCCAATGCTTCAGGGACATAATGTCCATATCTTCATCGTCATCAAACTCACCCGCGTTAAACTTTTCTGCAAAAGTGGCTGCGTCTTCCCCCTGATGCTGTGCAATATACGCTCTAATTTTTGCTTTCTTTTGTTTCGCTTCTTCATTACCCCAGTTCTCGTCAATAAACGCAAAAGGGTCTATGTAAACCAATTTGAAAAGGTCTGGCACCTGGGCATCCGCCGCAAGCCCAGCACGTTCTGTATCTGATAGTTCAGCCAGTGTCTGCGCCCCCTCCATTTCCGAAGCTTCCTCTCCCTGCGCCAGCGCCATCTCCTTTTGTGAAGCTACCTCTGCCTCAGCATTAAAAGCAGAGAGCAGGTTCCGTTTTTCTCTCATGATGAGCGCTCGGCCCGGAATATTGGAATTAATGGAGACTTGCAACTGCCCCGCAGAGCGCCCTAGCTTTGAGCGACGGTATAGAAATGGAAATTGAGAGTTCCGGGCGGCGCTTGCAACCCTAGAACTTTTGTGACTTCGAAAAATTGGCAGTCGATTTCGATATGTGGGAAGAACAGAATTCCATACACTACTGCCCACCCGTCGAACGCCCACGAAGCAGGATGTGGCAGACTGAAGTCCACTGATCTAGGCCTTGAGACTGCCCAAATATACCTTTGAAAACCCTACTATTTGGTTTCCTTGCTCAGCTCGACTGCCCTTGAAAACCCTAAATACAAAAATCACAAGATCCTCCGCCAAACCGGGAAAATGGTGTAGTCCAAGGGACTACTGCTGTAAACGTGGTCATCAAGCCGACAAAACCCTGCTAGAGCAGCACGCGTGATATCAAAATAGTAGTCTCTGGAAGGTGTTTGTGAAATGGTACGCCCTAAGCACTGTTGTGCGCACAACTTCAACGCGCGCGGCACATAGCGGCACTACCACTGCGGCGCGGACTTATTGTCGGCAGGTCACCGGCAAGCAGTCGGCGGTCACGGCCCAGAGCATGCACACATGCGGCAGGCCGGGGATGTTGGGCATCGGTGACAGGTCGGCAAATACGCCTGCCGCCCAGCTGCCCAGCAATGCTCCGTGCCGCGCAAGTGCCGGGGTTGAAACGTTCT